TTTCTCAAAAAAAACTTTGCAGGCCAAAAAGGAGTGGCAAGAGATATTCAAGGTGATGAAAAACAACAACCTACGACCAAGATTACTCTATCCTGCAAAGCTGTCATAAAGAATCAATGGACATATAAAGAATTTCCTAGACAAGAAAAAGCTAAAGGAGATCCTCACCATCAAACGAGTATTACATGAAATGTTGATGGGTCTTCTTGAAGAACAACAGAAATATGAAAAATAAAATGACAATAAATATCTATCTGTCAACAATTGAATCTACAAACAAAATGAGCAAGCAGAACAGCAGCAGACTCATAGATACAGAGAAATTTGTTGGTAGCCAGATGTGAGGGGGTTGGGGGAATGAGCAAAAGAGGTGAAGGAATTAAGAAGTACAAATTGGTTGTTAGACTGAAAGACCTCAAAGAGAAGGGATTCTGAGGGCAGGAAGAGATAAACCAAAGAACTTATATGCATAATCAATGTATACAGACAATAGTGTGGAGAAGATAGGAGGGGGGTGGGAGCAGGGAAGAGAGGGTCAATGGGGGGGAAAGGGAGGACATCTGTAATACATTCAACAAGAAAGATAAGTTTAAAAAGAAAAAAATACATCAAGCTAAAATAGAATATGCTAAAGGCAAAATGACTAATCCTGACAAATTTTAAATTTGAAAAAAACGTAATCTAGAAGTCTATGGAGACGTGTTGGTTTGGGGGTGAGGGAGAGTGAAATAATGAAGCAAGGAAAAAATGGAAGAAAAAAAGGCAGAGGAGGAAAGATAAGGAGGGTGGGAGACATTGCAGGCAAGGAGCATATATTTCAGGACTGAAGTAGAAATGTGAGAGAATATTAAGGAAACCATCTTGGCTTAGATGGTTTATATAGAGGAGTGGTTTTCAAATTATGTTCTTTTGGCACATACAACCCCCCTCCCCACCACCACCACCACTACCACAGGGGCTCATCGGGCTCATCCGCTACTCAAGTCTTTAAAGGAGGGCAGTGTTGCAGTATTAGGAGATTGATCTGCCGGTGGAGCCAGAGGCATGCGTTGGGAAGCTAGTCAGTAAGTCAGATGAGCTGACAGGAATCTAAATGTATTATCAGCCATTGGTGTGAAACTCAGAGAATGGTTGGATATGTGCACTCTCGCCAAAGAAAACCAACAAGACTGGGTTACACATTTGGATGGATGTTGTAGCAGGGGAAGGAGAAGTCCACAGAGCCATTCCATGATAGAAAAGAATCTTAGGTTGAATTTAAATTCAGTGGTACTAGAGTGTGTGGGAATATGGAAGATAATACACTGATCGTATCCAAATTCTAAAGGAAATACAGAGTGGATTGAAATTATTAACATAAATATGTAAACTGTAACTATTATGGCTAACTACAGGACTACACCTGTGTCAGCAGTGAGGATGAACACATAGCAGTTCTGTTCTTGTTTACACCTTAGTTCTTAAGGTTAGTTGGCTTAGAAGTCACTGAAAGCTTCTGTGCCTTGTAGGAGAGGTGCCCCTGTGTTAAAATGAAAAGCACTAGGCCCTGTGGCTCAGCTAAAAATCCCATTATCCAGAATCTGGGGATTGGCTTCTGGTGAAGTAGCATTCACGGGGTAGTATTGTTAGGTAAAGCAGAGATTGTTACTGATATGGCTACCAGATGGTAAGGATTAAATCCCCAGCAGGAGAAGACTTGTTATTCATTTGACCTGATGATAACAGCTGCAAACACAGGAGCTTTGTGAAGGATAAGAAAGTTACCAGGGATTTATTGCCCTTCACCAAAACAAAATAAATGAACTATAAACAAACTAATAATTTGAGATATGGGTATTTATTTGCTCTCAGTGTAAAAAAGACATTGAATATAAATGCAAACATTTAATATAAAAGTTCATAAAGGTACAAGGTGTGTTATGGGCTGAATTGTACCCCCTTGCCTCCCAAAAGTCATTTTAAAGACTTAACCTCAATACCTCAGAAGGTGACTGTATGTAGAGATAAATTATTTGAAGGGGCAGTTAAGTTAAAATGAGGTCCTTAGAGTGGGCCTTAATCCAGTATGACTGGTGTTCTTACAAGAGGAAGAGGTTAGGACACACACGGAGATCAAGAGATGACCATGTGAGGACACAGTGAAAAAGCCATCTGCAGTCCAAAGAGAGAGGCCTCGGAAGAAACCAAACCTGCCCACACCTTGATCTTGGACTGCTAGCCTCCAGAATCACGAGAGCATAAATATATGTTGTTTAAGCCACCTAGTCTGTGGTATTTTATTATGGAAGCCCTAGCAAACATAATATAATCTGGACTTCTGCAAACTTCATAAATGCACTAAAAAGATATACTAACCTAGAAAAATATTGGTTAACATACAAAATAGAAAAGGGCCTAGAATCAATAATACTCCTCTAACAATGAGCATACCAAGCACCCAGTTCTTGGTCTTAAATACCATCCTCCAGTAAAAGAAACCAAAGTGTCTTGGAGAAATAGCTGATTCTAGGAGTGAGGCAGGAAGTACACAGTAGGAGCCTGGCACATCATGTAGTGCCAGAAAGTAACAAATTGCTAAAAACAAACAAGAAAAAGCCTCCCGATTATAGAGGTATGTCAAAGGGACACAGGAACCAGCTAAAAGATCTCCCAGTGTTCAAAGTTTTGAGCAACAAGATAAAGTATTATTGCAATAGAACCCAACTGTCCATAGTGATACAAATAAATCATTGAATAAATAAACAACTAGAGGAGAATAGACAAATCTCCTGTGCAGAATTCCAAATAATGTATGTCGATACTCCCCTCAAGGTGGAGCATAACTCCCCTAAAGTGTGGCCTGTGCATGGTGACTTCCTTCTAAAGAGTACAGCATGGAAACGGGAGGGGGAGTAACACAGTGGAAAATCTAACACTACCTCAGCTTGGTGGTCAAGGTTAACTTCAAGAGTGAGGAGTCATGTTGATAGCATGTGTCCTTAATATAATATGATGAGGTGGTATTTACCTCTGTGGTCTTCCCCCCAAAAACCCACACCTCAGTCTAATCATGAGAAAAACATTTTAAAAATTCCAGTAGAGGGGCCTCCTACAATGAACTTGACCAATACTCCTTTAACTGTCAAAGGTTATTTCCTACAAAAAATCTGAGAAACTCTTAGAGCCAAGAGGAGCTAAGGAGGCAAGAAACAGTTTAATATGCAGTTCTGGATGGGATCCTGGGATAGAAAAAAAGGATACTAGGTCAAAACTAAAGAAATCTGAATAAAGTATGAACTTCAGTTAATAAATATTAATATTGGTTTATAACTGTGACCATACTAGTGCAAGATGTTAATAATAGGAGAAACTCAGTGCAAGGTATATGGGAACTATGCTCTCTTCCCAACTTTTCTTTTTCTTTTTTTTTTTTTTTATCATCCTCACGACCAACTGCAAACCAAAGGTAACCGAGGTGCATGCCCTTAGCGGGAACCGAACCCGGGTGTCTCTGGACCGCAGGCCGACGCTCTAACCGCTGAGCCAAACTGGCCAGGGCTATCTTCCTAACTTTTCTATAAAACTTAAAACTATTCGAAAATAAACGATTCTTTTAAAAATAGACACCCCCACCCTCACCCCTCCAAAAAAGCCTCAAGTAGACACTAGGATATCACACACCCCAGGCATCAAAAGGCCAGTAAACACTTGAAAAAAATTTATGCTTACCAGTGTTTAGAAACATACATTAAAACATCTATGAGATTATTACTTTGTATTTAGCTGGCAAACTTTTTTTTTTTTAAATGATGATACCCATGATTGACAACGTAAAGTGTAACTACCTGTCTGGAGGGCGTTTTGGTAATAGGTAAAAAATGTGTGTATTCTTTGAAGCAACAGTATTACAACTAGGGAAGTTGAATATCAATATACTCAGAACTGTTTTTCACAGTATTATGCGCAAGAGCCAAAACCTTGAGATTAACCAAACGCTGATAAATATGGGATTGTTTAAATAAATAATAGGAATCTCAATGTAGAATATAATGATGATATTAATAATAATACAGTAGAATAATATTTGAGGACAAAAAAATGCCATGTAGTACATCATGTAGTGCCAGAAAGTAATATGTGAAAATGTCCATTATAAATGCCCGCAGACCAAAGAGTTGGGGGTTCGATTCCGGTCAAGGGCATGTACCTCAGTTGCAGTTGGGTCCCCCACCCTGATTGGGGTCGTGTGGGAGGCAACCAATCAATGTGTGAAAATGCCTATTATAAAACATATATGTAATTTGTGAAAATGCCTATTATGAACCATTTGTATTTTGTGTCTACTCTTTCATTTTACACACACACACACACACACACATCTCTTGGATCTGGGATTTGGTGAAATAATCTTAATACATGGCATTAAAATAAGTCCTGTTTGTGATTTAGTATTTTTATAAATGTTTAAAGAGAGTTATTTTAATGGGTATTGTAATAAATATATCAAGTATTGTTTCCGAGCACTGTCATTATAGTTAGAAGTGAAGGATCACTTTCTCATTGCCACAAACGTGTGTGTGTTATATTTAAGGTATACTACACATGGATAAAAGTAGGATTTTGCAAACAATGATGTTTTGTCTGTGGTTATCTCTTAGGGTTGGAACCTTTTGTGTAATTTTATGTTTGTCTGCAGTTTTCTGCTTTTTTCCAAATGTTCTTCAAGAAACCACAGAATGTTTTTTTGTGATGAGGGAAAAAAAAAAAGTTTTTATGGCAATTTTTTAAAAAATATTTTTTTCTATGAAACTATAGTTGGAATTTTAAAGTTTTGGGGGTTTTTTTGGTAAAAAAAAAAAGTGTACTTTTCTGAGTAATTTAGTTTATACACAAATTTGTATTCATACAAATTTACACTTTCATGTGTCTTTTATGTACTTTTTATTTTTCTGTTAGATGATATTTTCATGAGCTCTTAAAAACATTGTTTGATTAGTCTTCTCATACTTTTTACTTTTTAGGTTGGTGTTTGGAATGCTGTATCCTGCATATTATTCATACAAAACTGTGAAAACAAAAAACGTGAAGGAATATGTAAGTATAGTTTTATGAGTGATTAATTTTAGTTTAATGCATCCATTACATACAAGACTAGAAAAACTGTCATTATTTTAGAAACAGCTGGCATAATGTTTTGGGTTAAAAATGTGATATAAATGTGAAGTACTGAAATTAGTCTTTTTTAAAACTAATTTTGATAGAATTCCAAAGTGGAGTGTCAAAAATAGTGCACTGTCAGTTGGCATTTAAATAAGTATGATTCCCAAATGAGTTATTAGATGTCTCTTACTCATTTAGTGTGCAAGTTCCAGTATAATAAAAGGTTGAGGGATTGTCTGTTTTTGTTTTTGTTTTGTTTTTTTGACTTATAAATTTATAAAAACACTAGGAATGTAACTCTTCAGTCCCAAAGCTTTTTTCTTCTTTCATAGGTCTTCTGTCACTTTCTAATTTATTTAAATATGCAGATACTGGCAATTGCAATCACCAGTCTGGTTTCTGTTTGTGGATTTAACTATTCTGGATATTTTATACCTGTGGGATCATATGTGACCTTTTGTGTCTGGCTTCTTTCTCTTAGCCTCTTTTCACAATTCATCCACATTATAGCATGCATGTATCAGTATTTTATTTATCTATTTATTTATTTATTTTATTTTATTTTATTTTATTTATTTATTTTTTATCCTCACCTGAGGACACTTTTCCATATTTTGTTCAGATAGAGTGGGAGGGAGAAAGAGAGAGAAAAACATCAACGTGAAAGGCACACATCAAGTGGTTGCCACCTGCACAACCCAACCAGGGCTGGGGACAAACTGCAACTGAGGTACGTGCTCTTAGCGGAAACCGAACCCGGGTTTCTCTGGACCGTAGGCCGACGCTCTAACCGCTGAGCAAAATTGGCCAGGGCTTATATATTTATTTATTTTTTAATCCTCACCCAAGGATATTTTTCCATTTATCTTCAGGTAGAGTGGGGTGGGGGAGAGATATCGATGTGAGAGGGACATATCAATTGGTTGCCTTGCACACGACCCCGACCAGGGCCTGGCACTGAACCACAACCAAGGTATGTGCCCTTGACTGGAATCGAACTCAAAACACTGGTCCATAGGCCAGTGCTCTAACCACTGAGTTTCCAGCCAGAGAAGTATTTTATTCCTTTTTATGGTTGAATAATATTCCACTGTGTGTGTGCGTGTGTGTGTGTGTGTGTGTATAAAACATTGTTTTTTCATTCATTCATTCATTGATGGAAATCTGGATTCTTTCTACCTTTTGGCTGTTATGAACAGTGTTGCTATAAGCATTCCTGTACAAAGATTTCTTTGAGTACCTGTTTTCCGTTTTGAGGGGTATATAGTCATGGTTCTTTGTAAGGGATCTTGGATGGTAGCCTGGTCATTCAACTCATCAAATGGTCAGAAATCAGGTGATGATTCTTTATTCTGTTTATTCAGAGTGCTTTTTTTTTTTCTGGGGTGGGAAGGGTATAAAACCTTTATAACTAACCCATTTTATTGAACTCTTATAGTTTTTTTCTTTTTTATATAAAACTAATTTTTGAAGTGAGGTATATACAAAGCAATCAGAATGGTAGAATATATTTAGCAGAGGAAGAGAAGTTGCTTAGTTGAGCTCTGAAATTTTTCTATCCTTTTATTATAAATCTCTTGGTGAAGTAGTCTTAAGAGATGGAACCACATTAGGTCCTAGTAATTTAAAGTAATTTCATAAATGGCTTGAAGGGACATATTTTAATATATGTTATAATAAATGCTTCAAGTGCCCCAGCGGTTTGGCTCAGCAGTTAAAGAGTGCTGGGCTGCAGACTGAAGGGTCACAGGTTTGATTCCCAGTCAAGGGCACGTACCTGGGTTGCAAGTAAGATCCCCCACATGGGTTAGGTAGTTTGGGAGGCAACCAATTGATATGTCTCTCTCACATAGATGTTTCTCTCACTCTCTCTCTCTCCCCCTCCCTCCCACTCTATCTAAAAATTAATGGAAAAATATCCTCAGGTGAGGATTAACAAAAATAAATACATAAATAAATGCTTCAAGTATTGTTTTATAGTACTGGCATACATTCACTTTTAGAAACAAGCACTTACCTTTCATTAACAGTGATTATTAAGCCACCTGTGGTAAAGGACCAGTTTTGATTTTTTGTTTTTTAATTTCCAATAATTCATAGACCAATACTTTTGTAAAATAAAATAAAAAACGAATTACTATTAAAATGATATATGAGCCCTGGCTGGTTTGGCTCAGCGGTTAGAGCGTTGGCCTGCGGTCCAGAGAGTCCAGGGTTCGGTTCCCTCTAAGGGCACGTACCTCAGTTGCAGTTTGTCTCCGGCCCTGGTTGGGTCGTGCGGGTGGTAACCACTTGATGTGTCCCTTTCACATTGATGTTTCTCTCTCTCTTTCTTCCTCTCTCTCCCTCCCACTCTATCTGAACAAAACATGGAAAAAATGTCCTCGGGTGAGGATAAACACAAACGTGTAAGCCACCGGCCTCAGCAGTTACAGTGTCAGCCTGCGGTCCAGAGACCCGGGTTCGGTTCTCGCTAAGGGCACGTGTCTCGGTTGCAGTTTGTCCCCAGTCCTGGTTGGGTCATGCAGGTGGCAGCCACTCGATGTGTCCCTTTTGTGTCCGTGTTTCTCTCTTTCTCCCCCCCACTCTATCTGAACAAAAAATGGAAAAATGTTCTCGGTTAAGGATTAAAAATAAATAAATAAAATGATATATGAAAACCCAAAAACATGAAATGCAGCATTTACTTTTTTATTATTAGATTCAGTAGATATGAAATTACTGTCAATTTTTTAATTTAAAGCAAACAGTAACACTTCACAGCCTTACACTAATTCATAGATGACCCTTTGTCACTGTGTAATATTTTAATTTGATTGGAGTTTTCTAGTAAAAGATAAAAATAAAAATTGCTCTTTATTTCCAAATACCATGAAAATATGTTAAGATGGGATTTTATTACTGTCTGTGCTTAATAAATATACTGGCCAATATATTCTTCCTTATTTGGAGTGTTTGTGATACTATGATTAAATGAGATCTTTTTCTAAATCTAATTAACTATACAAGTGAAGTACAGGGTGATATGTTTCTCAATATTGGGTCCATTTCACCTATAAAGTATGATAAACTCAGGATATGAAATAACTGGTGTGGCTGTGCATGTGTGTCTTTGTGCTTAGGGTAATCTTCTATCTTTCTCCTATCAAAACCTGTGTGGTTTTGTTGGGGGAAAAAAGGTTAAGTACAAATTGAAAATGAAGTTTAGATGAGACGGTCAAATAATATAAGGGTATTATCAGCAGGCACACAGTACCATCCCCTAAAATAAAAGGTGAGAAGATAACAATAAGAAATATAAAGGCATAATAAATTGTGATAAAAGAAATAAACCTGTCATGTGTAAATTAATGCTAAGAGAGAAGATGGTATTATTTAGGGATTGGTCTAATAACTATTATAAAAATATTAGCCCATTTCTTACTATGCATCAATTTAATTTTATGTTAATTTTTAAAGACTTAAGAGCATGGATTTGTGTTTTATTCCCTCAATACACACTCAGGTTATTTTTGGTTAATCCTTACCTGAGGATATTTTTCTATTGATTTTTTTAGATAGAGTGGAAGGGAGGGAGGGAGAGGGAAAAGGGATAGAGAGAGAGAGAGAAAGATAGACGGACATCCAAGTAAGAGACACATCAATCAGTTGCCTCCCGCATGACCTCGACTGGGATGGGGGGATTGAACCTGCAACCCAGGTACATGCTCTTGACTGGAATTGAACCCATGACCCTTCGGTCTGTGGGCTGACGCACTAACCACTGAGTAAAATCGACCAGGTCCCAAACTCAAATTTTTATTACTGGATTATTCTATAAATTTCAGATTAACAAGAATGGTGTAACCCTGAAATATTAATTCTGCTTCATAAGTTAAAGATAATTTAACTAATGAAAGATAATTCATTACCATTCAAACTGATGGAAAAACTATAAAACTTGATGTGTTGATATATGTATACATACCTATATATGTGCGTTTAGATATATACCTAACATATTGTCTCACACAGTTGTTTTTAGAGAATAACTCATTATTAACAAAGTAGAGATTATCTGTACATAATTTTGCTATAGTATTGTGACTCTAAAAGTTTTCTTAACCATCTCTTTGGGAATATGAAAATAATGAGTAATTGAAGAGAAACTAAGGAAATAGAAAGGCAGGTGGCTGGAGTTGGTTTGATAATTACATGCTAATGAACTCGGCTTTACAAATAAAATGAGAATTAAAAGCAAAAATGGTCAGGTGCTGAAACAGGAAAGGCCTTTGACAAAGTAATAGGATACAACTCTGAAGACCTCCTGGTGACCAAGTTGCATACCATCAAGGCTTTCTTAGAATAATAACATCTTACATTTATATAATACCCTACCAATTTCAAAATAATTTTTTATATTACTGTTTCTAATTGCTTCTGAAACAAATTACCACTTATTGACTTAACATAAATTTATTTTCTTACAGTTCTATAGGTCAGAAATCTGAAATGGATCCACAGGGTTACATTGCTTCTGGAGGCTCTATTGGAAAATCTGTTTACTTACCTTTCCAAGCTTCCACAGGCTGCCCACATTCCTTGGCCTAGGGCTCTAGTCCTCCATCTTCAAAGCGAAAAATGTTGGGCTGAGACCTCACACCGTGATCTCTCTGGTTCTCTCGTCTGCCCCCTTCTTCCAATTCTGCCTTGTGATTACAGTGGGCTCACCTGAATAATCCAAGATCCTCTCCCCATCTCAGGGTCACCTGATTAGCAACCTGAATTCCCATCAACAACTTGATTTCTCTTTTACCATGTAAACTAACATATTTCAGGGTAGGATGTAGACTTCTTTGGGGAAGGGGAACATTATTCTGCATACCACAGTATCTCACTGGCCCTCACTACAACTCTATAAAGTAGACAGTGAAAATACTCCAATATTATAGGCT